CAGCTCTTGCCTCCAAATTCCTGCTCTATTTGAGTTCCTCTCCTGACTCCCCTCAGTGATGGACTGTCCCTGGAAGTATAAACTGAAATAAAACTTTTCCTCTTGTTGTAGATAATATTTGTCTAACTATGTAGAGATGTGTTGCATTTGTTTATGCCACATTTGTTTAACTATGTAAAGGTGTGCTGCTGTTCAGTCTAGTAAGTAAGGCAGAGAGTGTGGCACACAGACTCATGTGCACATATACAACATCCATACTGTTTGGGGGGTGGGGGTGGTCAGTGGGTAGAGCGCCTGCTGAGCAATCATGAGGACCGGTCTGTCTAATTCCACTGTCTGTAACCTGAAGGTGGCAGGGAGCATGGAAACAGGCAGATCCCTGAAGCTCCTTGATCAACTAGCCTAGTCAAATCCACGGGGGGAAAAATGAGCTGGAGTAAGAAAAAGGTAGATACCTTAGACCAGTGGTTCTCAGCCTGTGGATTGCAACCCCTTTGGGGGTTAAATGACCTCTTAGGGGTCAAATATTAGATATCCTGCATATCAGATATTTACATTACGATTCATAACAGTAGCAAAACTACAGTCATGAAGTAACAACAAAATAACTATGATTGGGGTCACCACATGAGGAGCTGGATTAAGGATCACAGCATTAAGAAGGTTGAAAACCACTGCCCTTGACACTCTAAACAGATACTTTAGTCACTCTTTGGGCAATTAGCTGAACATTTTCATACTCTGAACAATAAAAGAGAAACATGTCTATGGTGGCACCATAATCCAAAACAGGCTTTAAAACACAGCTATGTAAGTTTTACAACATATGTTAAGCTACATATTGCTATACACACTTAGCTAGTGCAGAGAAGAGACCTTGAATCACTCATAGGGCTCTTAAGAAAACAAAGAGCAGCCTGGCAAGGTGGCACACGCCTTTAATCCCGGCACTCTAGCAGCAAAGGCAGGTGGATCTCTGAATTTGAAGCCAGCCTGGTCTCCACAGCCAGTTCCAGAACAGAGAGTGCTAAACAGGGAAAGCAGATGGTGGTGGTGGAACAACAGAACAAAACAAACAGACAAACAAACCAACAACAAAATAATTTTCCCACTGCAACATGAACCTAATGTTACACAGATACATGGTACTATTTCCTATGCCCTTATTAGAATCAGATGTGTAATTTGGATCCACAAAGTAGACAAAAAGCAACACCATAAAAAGAAAAAGTAACAAAACCCAGCCAAGAAAAGTAATATACTTTGACTATAGACTTAAACCAAAAATTTAGGTTGATTAAAAATATCACCTCTGAAACAAAGTATACTATCCCTCAGCATAATAAACCTTTCGCCTCTCTTCAATTTTTCTTTCTATAGTTAAGTTTAAAAACATCAGTCATAGTCTAAAAGATAAAGACCTAAATGGAAGTAGATTAAATAGGCTTTCTGGACTTTTGACTAAGATTCTGAATGATCTAAATTCCTTTTTAAGAATAAAACAGTATACTTAACACTGATAAAATGTATATCCAACAGTAATTGAAGAGGTTCAGAGACATTTTTAAGGAATCTACGACTGCCAGACATGGTGGTCCACACCTTAGGGGATGACAGGGGCAGCCAACCTGGTCTATATAGCCAGGACATAGTGGTTTCAGCCTGGACTACATAGTTCCAGACAGCAGGATTACTTAGGCAGTCACATAGAGACCCTGTCTCAGAAAACAACAAAACGTGTTTAAGACTTAGATTTGGTACTTTCCATTTAGGATAGCCCTTTCTGTATCTCTAAATAAATGACAGAAACTATTGATTAGTCATCTAATACTACCTCTGTGAACCCCCAATAGTATAGTTCTAACAGAAACATTTAAAATGGCTCAGTAAGGTAAGAAAGAGCCTCATCTAAACTCTCTGGTCTTTTCTCTCATAACTTGTACCCCTACTTCCTCACTTCTACCAACAATGGCCTCCTTGCTGTTCTGTGGACATGACAAATGCTCTAACCTTAACATTACACTCATGGTTTCCTTTCAACCTCTGCCTTCTCAAACATCCATATGGCTTGTTCCTTACATCACTCAAGTCATAGGCCATCTGCAGGGAGGCCTTACCTGACCAGCTTTTCTGTTACTTTGGTCCCTCTACCCTTTACCTTCCTTCATTCTCCACAATCCTGTGATCATAGAGGAACTACACTATCCTTCACTGGGCTGTCTTGAACATGGGAAGGAGCCTCCACTGTTAATACTGTCTGCTACTGCACTGCAAGTAGTTAGGAAATTCTTTAGCAAGTCCTGACTATATTACATAGTTGTCCTTGGTATCCATGAGGCTCCAACTCAGAGAGCAAAACTTGAGGATGCTAATGTCCCTTCTATACAGTGGTGCTGGTATTTGCCCATGACCTATGTATATTGTGATACTTTACATTATCTCTACATTACCTAATATAAGTGTTATGTGAATAGTTGTGACATTGTATCATTTAGGGAATAACCGGGTGGGGGGAGGTGACTACATGTTTAGAACTGAGGCCTTTCCTTCAAATATTTTGTAACCAGATTGCTGAATTCAGGAGAGAGAATGAAGATGCACAAGGCCAACGCTACACAGCCAAGTATAAGGAAAGTCAGAGAAGAGCTGACAATACCCAGACATCTATTTAACTTTGATTCCTTTAAAATCTCTATCCACCTTTAAAACAGTCACCCACATTTTTTAAAATTGTAGATACTTCACTAAAAGCATCACACTTTTTATTTAGGTCACTAAACTCTAACAGTGTATATTTCCATATGTGTACTATTGGAGGAACTGTAAACAACCTTTTCCACTACTGAATGATTTGCTAGACTGAATTTTGATTAAGAAATGCTTAATTTTACATCACTTGGTTCTATTTATTCTAAGGTTTCTGTAACCAGACCCAACTGGGAAAATGATTTAGCTGCTAGCTGGGGTATAAAAAAGCCAACCACAAGCAAAAGTTATGCAAGCCTCCTAAACAAAACCACGAGGTTTTCTATATATTTACATTCTAATTCTCCAGTTGGCTCTCCAGTGTCATTTCCCCCTCACTTTAGGGGTACCCTGGAAGTGAGAGAAAGAATGAAGAAAAGAAGTGTAAGATGAGCAAAGAGAATGGGAAGAACAAGAGATGAAGGCCAAGGACAAACTCTCTAATCCAAAGCAGATTATACACTAATCAAATACAAAGTAGCGAAAAACTTTATTTCCTATATTCTGTACATGCATTACACAAGAAACCACCATGTTTTTAAAAGCACAAACACACACACACACACACACACACACACACACAAACAAACAAAACAAAACAAAACAAAAACCAACCCACACACACCCAAAAAAAACCCAAGCATACAGAGCAGTCATGCTGACCTGGTAGAGTGCTGACTTGCACTCTGGGCACTGACAGACTAGGATATTCTTTCAGGTACTCCCTAGTTTCACTGTTAAAAATTATGTCTGATTCTGCTCCATTGTCTTTTTTGTTTGTTTGTTTTTCTAGACAGGGTTTCTCCGTGTAGCTCTGGTGCCTGTCCTGGATCTCGCTCTGTAGACCAGGCTGGCCTCGAACTCACAGAGATCCACCTGGCTCTGCTGCCGGGCTCTGCTTGATTGTCTTCACATTCCAAGAGAGTAAGCTAATCCAATTACACTTTTTTTTCTCTTATGATGTTGGTATATATCTGTGTGTATCACCTCTGAGACATTAACAGTTGATAAAATAAACATCATGAACTATCAGTGAGCACCGTATCTCATTGAACCCTCACAGAAACCAAAAGGCTTAATATTACTCCACATCACACACTCAGGTTTAAGGAAGTCATGTGACCCTGGCAAGCTCACATAGTAAATAGCAGATTTAAAGCCTGAGGTTCTAAAAGTCTTTCTTGCTTTAACCATAGACACTCTTCGAAGAGTAATTCAATAAAATATCAATAGCTCCAAGTTCCACTCTTGTGTGTGCCTGTGTCCTTGAAGGGCAGTAATGGTGCAGAATTGAGCTTGTTTTTTATGATGACAACACAATGACCTCCTTGCCGGCGACTATCAAAGCCGACATGAGAAATACTAGGCTGCTCAGGTTAGTTTTCCTGCACTTTCTTACACAGAGGAATATGCTTAAGGTCAATCCAACGGAACAGCACGTGTCTGTTTATTAGTGACTCTGGGGTGTTGGTAAGACGCAAAATTCTTTCCCTGAAGCTTCAAAGAGGGAAATCAATGGGTAGCTTGTAGAGGAGCAGGGCTCAGATTGTAATTCATCCGACCTCTGTCATAGCTGTGTTCTTTTTCCTGTCTTCGCAGGGTCCTTTCCAGGTGCACCCCTGGAGGGTTAAAACAAAAACACTGCTCCACTAGATCCCCGGCACTAACTAATCCTAAGGCATCAGACACACGTGCATGTCCACGCTCAGCAGGGAGTGATCAAGTCTTAAGGGTCGGCAGGTTTGCCCACGGGGTTCACCAGGCCTTCCTTCCCCATGCCTGAAGGAGTTGGGGCAGCGGGAAGGCCGTCGCTTTCCTGAAGCCACAAGCCACACCCGAGCCGCGCCAGCCGCCTCCCTCTCCCGGGCCCCCAGAACCCTCCCGGGAAGAAAGAGCTGCCTATACGTTCCCCGGAGAGCCGAGGACCAAAGCAGCCCGGCCTCAGTTCCCACCCCGGCGCGGCGGCCAAGCCGAGGGCACTCACCATCATTCTCGTAGCTGTGCCGCCTCCGCGACATGCTGCTCGCGGGGGCGCAGGCGAGCTGAGCTGCGAGCGACCTGCAACACCAGAACCGTCGGGCTGCTGGCCGGCCGGTGCGCGGTCAGCGGCGAGGCGCGCGGACTGGCCGGCGCGCAGGCGCACTCGCCCACGACGGCTGCCGGAAGCGCAAGCGGAGAAGCACCGGGTGGGCTCGGAGGCGGAAGGCCGGCGTCTGCAGGCCCACGCGCGGCCACCTCCTCCCGCCTTCCACCCTGAGGCCTTCCAGATGGCGAGCTAAATGACCCCGGCCCGGACGACCCCGCCTCAGCTTTGCAGCGGTCCCGCCGTGTTTCTCCCGGCGGCCCCTGCGCCGACGGCTTTAGAGACTTCCGGAGCGAGGTGACGTCCCAGGGACTTTCTGCGCACGCGCGCGTCGGGGGCGTGGGCTCGAGGGCGGGGAGCCGCGCCAAGTTGGTGAAGGGAGACCCGGGAAAGGCCTAGGACCGGCGGGTATGTGTTCTCACTCTCGCCGCCCGGCCGGAGCTGCCTCGGGAGACCTGGGCGGGGAGGGAGGGGAAGCCGTTCCCCAGCGGTAGGGAAGTTGGGCCCGCCCGGCCGAACCTGCTCATGGTCGTTTTACCGCCCACCTCTTCCAGCTGACGCCGCAGATAACCGATCGATCTGGTTTCAATTGTTCCTCTGTCCGTCTGCACGTGTGCAGTACGTGGACGCCCTCTGCCCTGCTGTCTTTGATGGGCACCCAACTGCCTTGTCCATGGTCTGGCCGGAACTCCTCCTTCAGTCTTACCGGTTTCAGTAAAAAGGCCGTTTTTGTCGTTTGCTTAATCCATGAATTTAGGGAGGAGTCATTAGATCCTTCACTTCCTGTTATCCACAAACATTACCCGCTGTACTTTGAGAGCAAGTCCATTAATCAAACTTATTTACTACTATGTTTAAAACACTTCGCGGACTTAAAAAATATGAATATTTTATGGTTGTGCCTGGATGTGTAGGAGCTTATGGAGGCCAGAAGAGGGCATCAGATCCCCTATAACTGGAGTTTCAGACACTTGTGAGCTGCCATGTGGGTGCGGGGGTGGGGGAACCAGAATCATAGGTCCTTTGCAAGAGCAGTAAGCACTCTTCACCACTGAGCCATCTTTCCAGCCCTACTTTTTTCTTTCTAAAGAATATCTTTTATTTGCCCTTTTCATCTGTCCATACACGTAAACAATCCATCTTGATCATATGCCCGCCAACTCTCCGGGAATTTCCATTGCAAACTCCGAACTATGGCTTCTGGGGTTCTGTCCCCACCACTGTGTGTGAACCACTATGTTCTTCTGATGAGTCCAGCTTGTTCACATTTTAGGAATCAAGACTTACTGTTTCCTTTACCTAATGGTCTCTGCTCTGAAATCTACATGACTGACCATCAGATGCCTACAGAGTTATTTCTCTGACTCTTCAATTCTTGCTTTATTTCACTCAAGTACTATACTGGATTAATTAACATTTGTCGCCTTCTGTACACAAGACTGTTCAAGATAGTGAGCTGCATGGTGAACCAAAGGAAGCCTTTGGTCTTTTGGAGCTGAAGTCCTAAACGACCCTTTCAGGATGATGACAGGCACTGTAGTCTGACATAATGGCAGAGGAAGAGTGGTACAAGTTGGGATCAGAGAGGCAGGGACAGATTATCTGAGCAGGCTGAGACTTTGGAAAAGTCCTCCAAGTAGGTAGTTAGGCATCAGTAATTCAGGCAAGAAATGCTGGAGCCTTGCACTGGGGTGATGGTGACTAAGGTTCAAATGGGTGGCTGACTTTAAAAGGAAGGTAAAGGTTAGGGTCTGGTATGGTGGCACCCTGTTCTGGAAGTAGAGACAAGGGAATCTCAAATTCAAGATTACTAGGGGTTCAAGGCCAGCCTGTACTATGCAGCAAGTCTCAGAAAAAATAATTTGAAAAATAGGGGCTGGCAAGATGGCTCAGCAGGTAAGCACCTGCCGCATGAGCCTGATGATAGAGTTTGATCCCTGGAGCCTGTGTAAATGTGGAAGCAGGGAACTGACTGCTCAAAGTTGTCCCCTCCCTTCCACATCCATGGCAAGTGTCTAGGCTCAAGTAGACACAAAGTAGATAAAATGTAACTAAAAGGAAAAAAGAAAACAGTTCATTGGTTATAGTGTATCCATTTCGGGGAGATGTGGCCACAGTAGCAATTTTGAAATTTTGGCTCTGAGATTTGAGAACAAAAGAAACAAAGCCATAGTATCACTGGTATTGGTTGATTTGGGAAGTACATAGTGCTTTCCTACTATTATTCACCCAGCATTTTTTACATGGCTTACTTCCCAATTCATGTTTCTTTGAAAATGCTATGGCCTCAGAAAGGCTATACCTACCCCTTTAGGTACAAAGAGCCCTTTCACCTGCCTCCTTACTCTGCTTATTTTTCTTTAAAATATTAAATTTAAAACGACTTTTAAAAAATCAGTTTATTGGCTTATCTTTTCCACTAGATTGTAAACTTTAGAGGGCAGACTTTTTCCTGTTGCGTTTACTGCTCTGTTCCCAATGTGTAGAGGGTGCTCCGCCAAGCATAGTTGTCACATAAATACTATTGAGTGAGCAAGTGAATGGGATAGCCTGGGTTATGTGGCCACTGCTAATTTGCATGACTGATTAGCTTCATGTTTGCTTCAACCAGTACCCAAAGAGTTGAGCATTGCATCTTCTCTCTTCTCTCTCAGAAGCTACCTGACTGAAAGGAATCTGCCCCACGGATCAATCCAGATGCCTTCTTCCACTTCACCAGATGAAGAAGTTGGCCTGGAGACCTGTGTTTTAAAGTTTTCTGATCTGGATTTAAAAGAATCGAATCTTATTAACCCCAGCAACAGTCTCAAAGCAGAGTTAGATGCCAATACAAAGAAGAAGTACTCATTTGCAAAGAAAAAGGTAAAATTGCTGTCAGTGTTTTCATGATCGTGTGTATAAAGTTAGTGAAGTACATACAGGAAGGAGTGGATTACTGAGCTTGCCTTCCACCTCACAGTGTGGTCTAGTCTAGCAGCATGCAGTCTTGGAACTACATGTTATGGTGGAGTATTGGAGGATACTAGGTCCTGGACAGGCAGGATGGATGTCTTTCCTCACTCGGTTGTAGAAAGACTCCAGGAACTCAGCACCGTAGTGTAAGGAGAACTGACAGGTAGTAGGGCAGCTGGCGTCTAGTGAGGCTGTTAATGAGCCCTGCTGCTGCCGGTGGGGAAAGAGTTTGGTCTCACCTCGCTAGCTCAGTGCTTTGAAGAAAGGACAGAGCATCACAGGGTACTGCAAGACTATAAGAATGCCGTGACTGGGTGTAAAGAGGTGGTATTGGTGCCCTTCGTCAGCCCCATGTATTTTGTTGTTGTTGAGACCATTGGCTGAAACTCCGTTTTCTTAAAAGCAGGGATCCAGAGGCCCATTGGCAGGGAAATGGCTGGCTAAGGAGCCAGAGAAAGCCTGGCTTTCTCACCTTCAGCCTGTGGTCCTCTTAAGGAGCCTCTTTCTGGCTCTATGTCAGTGAAGAATAAATATCTCTGTCATCTCCCAGCTGCCACCTTCCGTCAGTCTCAGACAGGTTTCCTTGAAAATGAAATTCAGAGGTTACAGAGGTCCTTCACCCGTATTACTTTGCAAAAATTTCAAACTTAGAGAAAAGTGAGAAGAATTTTATAAATGATGCACACACTGGCCTTGTCCAGAGGTTCTGTTCATACTCACCACTTGTCTCAAGTGCAGAAAGCTCACCTGGTTACACAGAAACTGAGCTGGTTCCAGTGCCCACCCCTTGGTTGTTGCCACACCTTAGTCCTTCTCTTTTGTCTATGTAGCCAGAGTTGACCCTGAACTCAACTCATGCCTCTCTTCCTAGAGGTCTGAGTGCTTGGTCTTTTCTTTTTTTTTTTCTTGGTTTTTCGAGACAGGGTTTCTCTGTGTAGCTTTGTGCCTTTCCTGGAACTCGCTTTGGAGACCAGGCTGGCCTCAAACTCACAGAGATCCACCTGGCTCTGCCTCCCGAGTGCTGGGATTAAAGGCGTGCACCACCACCGCCCGGCTGTGCTTGGTCTTTAAACTAGAACACTACATTTTTCTCTCAAGTTCTGGTTGTTTTGTAGATGGGCCCTCAGTTTGGTTTTGACTCATATTCCTTCCATGAGATTCAGAGTTGGCTTTCTTAGGAAGACTATCCAGGAAGAAATGCCTGTTCATTTTGCCACATTCTCCCAGGTGCTCCCCAGTGCTGATGCTCCTGTTCCTGACTGTGTTCATTTTAGTAATTGGCAGGAACTGTCTGCTAGGTTTCCTCACTGTAAAGTGTTTCCTCACTGTAAACTTTCCTTTTTCCCATTTAATTCATCAGTGGCTGGGAAGGAATAACAGTGCCATCTTTTCCTCTTGCCTGTCTTGAAGGATCAACTGTAAGAAACACTAAAACGGCCCTAGCTTGTCATTTCAGATGCCCCACCCTGCATACTCCAGGTCCGGGCTTGCACAAGTTGAGGAAGGTCCATCAGTGGTGCGCCTCACCTCTAGCACAGCCCCACCACCCATGTAGAGGTCGATGGAGAGGACTGACTATTCCATAGAGTTGCTCTCTGACTTCCAAGTGTGCACCATGGCATGTGCTCCTCCCCCCAATTATAATATAAAGTTTAAAACTTTTGAAAAAGGAAAATATACAGTACATATAAACTAACAAATCAAAGAAAGTAGGAAAAAATTCAGCCTTAGTACGAAGAAAAAATATGCAAATAAAAATAAAGTAGCATTTATCTTGCTTTTTGGGGGGAATGATATTTAAAATATTGACAGTAAAAACTTAAGTACCAATAAGACTTAGGCCGTTCGTCTGCTTTGTAGTTGAGAGCATGCACTGACACAGAGTTTGGTTTCAAACGTGATGCTCTTTGATCCACCCATTTCCCTTCGAACACCTATCCTAAATGGGTAAGTGATGGAAGGAAGGAGCGTCTGCTCACACCAGTGCTTGTGCTCACACTGCAGATATGGGGCCCTCCGTGGGTTTCAGTTGGTAACTAAGAGAGTTTTGTGTTGAACCTTTTAACAATGGCCGTAAATCATTCGTATGAAGACCCTGTGATGCTCAGCTGTAGTCGCCATCCTGCACAGTTTCTGGGAAGGAAGGAGAGGCAGAGAAGTCAGGTCCTAACAGCGCCGCAGTTAGTGCCGGGGACAGGGAGGCCCTGCTGCATTCCTTCCCCTTCCCCAGTGCACCTAAGGTGTCACGAGGGCCACACTGCCTTGGCCGGTCCGGCCAGGGCTTTCACATAGGGTGTCAGGAACGTTTCTCCAGGGAAAGCTTCATACTGAACTGGAAAAGTACCTAATTGCCATGGTAAGTAAGTAGTACTCCATAAGTTATGATTCCCATTTGAAAAGGACCACTGTCTGCTACTTGCAGTGTGCTACTTACTAACATTTACCTGACATTCAGATCCTTCAGAATAGTCTCTAAAATGAGTTAAAACATTTGAATATTTTTGAAGTTCTTGATATCTTTGTTAAATAATCAGGAGTGTCCCAGAAAGAGGAATATATGCTCCTTCTGGTAGTATATTTTGCTGTTTTATTTTGCCTATTGCAGAGTCAAGGCATCTTATAGAAGACTTTATATATAGGTAATAATTAGTAATAACTATGTTATAGGAACTTTAATAGATATCCACAAGCTATTACTAGAGTAACACAATTATAAACAACTATCTAATGTATTAAATGATGTAAGTGTTATAGGGAAAAGTTAGAGAAGTTTAAAGAGATTTCAGCTTGTTCTCTGACTTACGATGGTCAGAAAAAGTCCTCGTTCATCAATAGGTGAGATTTGAAGACGTGAAGAATGATAAACCATACGGATAGTGGAGGGAGGAGAATCCAGTGCAAAGGCTGTAAGTAGTACAGAAACCTGCGTGCTATGTTTGAGCCAAAGCCACGAGGCTGAAACGGGATGTGGTAGGAGCAGTGGAAGGAGCCAGGCTATCGGGGATTTCCTAGAGAATAGGAAGAGAGCTTCTGGGGAATTTAGAGCGGTGAAGTGATACCTGGTCTAGGTTTTTGTTCATGTTTTTTGTTGGTTTGTCACTGTTTCAAGACAGGGTTTCTCTGTGTAACCCTGACTGTCCTAGAACTTGCTCTGTGGACCAGGCTGGCCTGGAACTCAGAGATCCACATGTCACCATGCCTGACTTGATCTAGATTTTAAAAGAAGCATTTCAATTGAATGGAAAATAAATGGTGATAAATATGGAAAGAGGGAGGCTAAGAAGCTATTATAATAATCCAGGGAAGAGTGATGGTGGCTTGCATCAGTGGAGTGGTAGCCAAGGGAGAAATGGTTAGATTTTGGGTGTACTTGGAAGTCACATTGATGGATTGGATGTAGGATGTGGAAGAAAAGACTTGGAAATGTTCTATTAATGTTTTTTATTTATTTTTGGAGGCAGTCTAACTTTGTAGCCTTGGCTGGCCTAGAACTCAGACTGGCCTTGAACTTACAGAGATCTGTTTGCCTCTGCTGGGATTAAAGGTGTGCACTACCCTTTGCTTTTGTTACATATGTGTTGATACCTTTGCTCTGTGTTCCTCCTCATTTGTCTTGTAGAAATTCCTAACGTATTAATTGTGGTGGCCAAGGCTCCGGTAACAAATGGCCTCACACCTGTAGTGGATAGAGCACATTAGGAGTTTGGACTTGGGAGATGGGAGATGAGGCATCTTCAGTACCACACAGGTTGCAAGAACCTAGCCTGGTGTTACGTCTGCTGGCCTCAGCACATTTCCGAGAGAGAGAGAGCACAGAGGAGCACACGTGGGAGGTTTTTATGGACCAGAAGTGGAGCTATCATGTGTCACTTCCATTGGAAACAGTAGTACAGCCTTAATTGCAAAGGCTAGTTTCCCAGGGAGAAAGGAAAATGGATTTTGGTGGCTGAACAGTAAGAGGTTGTTACTTTAGAACAGTCTTGCCAATTTCCTGAGGGGTACTTATCTGCTTTGGGCTGTAATTGCCCTAAGCGTCTGCTTCAAACAGTGGACATCTTTTCAGTTAGATAAGATTTTGGTGACTTAGGAAAGAAGAGTACTCCAGACATAAGCCGGGCTGAGCATAAGCCGGGCAGGGAGGGCAGAGGTGTTGAAGTGACATTGAGGAACAGTGAGTAGACTGGTTCATGTGAACTAAGGTTGTAAAAGAAATAGGAAATGATGGGGCTCGAAGCAGCAGGGTGGGGCAACATTCAGGAGTCATTGTGTTTCTGTTCTGTGCTAGACAAGGACATAATTCTAGTATGTGCTGAACATTTATGTAATTCTTTGATTTACATTTTCCAAGTAGAAATTTGGACTGAATAACTTCCTCACATTTGTTTTCAAAGGTAAACAGCAGGGCCAATATTTCCAACTAAGTGGAAACATGAAAATAGAAGATGTTATATCCAGAAAGCAAAGAAATGGCATTTAGTGGGAGTGCCACAGACTGATGTTAGATGAGGCCTCTGCAGCGAACTCTGAGTGTTTAAAGGGTCTGACAGAGCAGCAGTTCTCAACTTGGGGGTGACATACCAGACGTCCTGCATAGAGATATTTAGATTGTGATTCCTAACACTAGCAAAATTACACTTATGAAGTAGCAATGAAACAAGTTTATGGTTGGGGTCACCGCAGCATGAAGAACTGTGTTCAAGGGTCACAGCATTAGGAAGGTTGGGACTACTGTCTTAGAGGAATCCGAGTAACATGGCACCTCAGGGAACACTGTGGAGAAGGACTCTCTGGAAGGTGGAAGCAGTAAGTGTCCAGGTTTGCCCATGTCCCTGACATGGATGAAGAACATGGATGATGAAGGCTTGGGTGTGGAAGACCAGGGTACGAAGCCATACCTTACCACTCCAGTGTCAGTGTATGGGTTGTGAAGCAACACAAACCCATGCTCTTGCTCTTAGAATTCTTCGTAGACTGGCAGGGTGCCAAACTGGAACCCCCCCCCCAAAAAAAAAGTAATATAAGAGATTGAGTGAAACTTGTTACCCGAAACCTAAGGCTGTTAAGTAATGATGCTGTTTGAAATGTGAATTGCAGGCCTTTGCCCTTTTTGTCAAAACCAAACAAGTTCCAGCACCTTCTCTGGAATTTAAAGGAAAATGGTGGAGATGCTGTCAGCAGCTATTTGCAGACCAGACCAGCATCCACAGACATGTGGCAACACAGCACGCTGAAGAAGTTTGCCAGCAGACCGCTTCTGTTCTGAAGCAGCTAACTGCAGCTCCGAGTGCTTCACAGAGTCTCCCCTCTGCAGACAGGAAGAGCCCGCCGAAAGACTGTCGCCCTCCTAGTCAGGAAGTGTCTGCTTGGCTCCCCGATGTAAGCCGCATTAGCCCTGATGAGCTGAGCAGGTACGTTTTTTATTCTGTGTTTGGTTTGCTTTTTAAATACTTTCAACTACAATAGTAAACTACAGTTAACCCACAAAAATGGGCAAACTGAGAAAGAGCAACCATGGCGAATACAGGTGACACGGTGAAGCCAGCAGAATGCTCAGTCCTTGCTGGTGAGGGTAGAGATGGCCCCACCACTCTAGAAAAGGGTTCGGCAGGTTCTTTTAAAATTCAGACATCTTCCCAGTGATCCACTCCTGGGTGTAGAACAAACAGAAATAAACACATAGGCCCACAAAAGCCTAAACATGAGTATTTGTGGCAGTTTTATTCGTAGTAACGAAATATTGGAAACAACTCATTATTTTGTCTGCTAAATAAAAATAAACTAGTTATATTTTAAAATGATAAGGACTCAAGAAATGGTTCACTGGGGGAAATGCTTACCATGTAAATATGAGGACCTGAGTTTGAATCCCCAGGATCCATGGAAAGCCTGGCATGGTAGTGCTTATGGGCAATCCTAGTACTCCTACAGCAAAATGGGAGGAGGGACAGAATCCCCAAAAGCTCACAGGCCAGCAAGCGTTGGGTACACAGCAGTAAAGAACAATAGACCTGTCCAAACAAGGTGGAAGATGAGGACCGATACCCAATATTGTCCTCCGACTTCCACATCACATAGTGGCACCCATGTGCCTGCCTGCATTCACACGTGAACACATTCATACCATAGACACACATCATACACACACAGAGATTAAAGAAATAAAAATAGCTGGGTGGTGCGCACGCCTTTAACCCCAGCACTCGGGAGGCAGAGCCAGGCGGAACTCTGTGAGTTCGAGGCCAGCCTGGGGTACAAAGTGAGCTCCAGGAAAGGCGCAAAGCTACACAGAGAAACCCTGTATCGAAAAACCAAAAAAAAGAAAGAAAGAAAGAAAGAGAGAGAGAGAGAGAGA